CAGGCAGTTATATTTTCGACGGAGGAGCTGGGAGTCGGGCAGCGAGGGGGGGCGCCCTGTCTCCCCGGGAGGGGTTTCCCGCTTCTCTCGCGGTGCCAGGCCCGCGCCCCCTGAGCCCGACCCCGCGCCCCTGCTGACCGGTTCGCCCTCAGGCGTTTCTTGAACATTTCCAAGTCCCTCCTAGCGCCCCTCCCACTCTCAGAGGGGCCGCTGGAGGGCTGGGGGAGCTGTCCAAAGCCAGGGGTCTCGGGTGAGGCGGGGGACCAGCTCCTCACCGAGCAGCGAGGCCGCCTGCCCAGGAAGATCTCTTTCCAACGCCACAAGGAATTTTCTACACTCGTTTAGAATATCTACCTACCCACACCCAGACATCTGCATTTACGCACCGCCTAGATCATTCATATGTTCGTGAATATAGCTACGTATCTGCAGTACACATAGCTGTAGTCTTTCCACATTCCGCCTACCAGTGTATTAAACAGTAAACTACACTGATAAAACAAGTAAGTTAAAAAAAAAAAAAAAATTAACTCTTGTCCACCTCTTTCTAGGCAACATTTCAGACGACCCTCCATTTTCTTACACTGGATATGGGAATGAAGCCTAAAATTTATATCACGACTCCTTTTCTTTGTTTCTGCGGAAACAGTGACTGCGTCCAGCACCGCCTGAGGCAGGGAAGCCTGGGGGCGTCCAGAGGACAGCGGGGGCCTGCGGGGACAGCCGCCTCCCCTGCTTCTCGGGGAAGGCTGGCCTGTCAGCACAGCCCGTTTGCACAGGGGAGGGTTGTGCATCGAACAGTCTTAAGACCCTGAGTCTGGACTTTGGGCACAGGTTTCAGTTACGTCTTACCTACCGGAATAGAGGTAAGGCGCCGATGGCGAGCGGCCAGCCGCCAGGCAGGGCAGGCGCGGCGAGGGCAGTGTGTGCAGCGGTGCACAGGCTGAGTCGGGAGCTAGATCGGCCCCGAAGAGAACGGAGGAGGTGGCTGTCCTCGGAGAAGCCTCCCTGGGGCTTTTAGGGAATGAATCGGGAGGGCGGCCAGGACGCCAGTCTCTCTCTGGGCCCACCTAATCCACTTTAAGAAGCCAGACTTGCCAGACTAGACTCAGTGCCAGATCTGGGAAGGTGCAATGACCTTGAAGGTGGCCCAAAATATTCTGACCTGGCAGAGCAGCTGTTTTCATGCGGAAAAGCACCAGTTGAGAATGACAACCGCTTACGTTCTGGTCCACTTCCGCAGAGACATTTCCTCATCTGATGGAAGGATGACGCTGCAGATGAACTTCTGCTCCCGGATGCGCCGGCCCAGCACCCTCTCCTTTGCCTTCCAGCCGCCTGAGAACGTGCGGTCGTGCCCGAGTTAGGGGACTGCAGGCAGTGGAAGGTCCTCTGCAGCTTTGGGGCATGAAAAGCAGGGGGTTCATTTCCAAGCCATTTATTTCAGATACGTTTTCTGAGTGCCTTCGATGTTCCAAGCACTGAGAAACATGTAGAAAGTTACATAGGCCCTGCCCTTAAGCAATTTATCTTTCATGAGAAGAAAGAAGGAAGAAAGGAACAGAAGCTCCCCTCTAGGGGTTCCCTGCAAATGCCCGGAAAGATGCAGATGTCTGCACACAGATGTCAGGGAGAGCAAAACACAGGGCCTTAATCAGCGGGACGAGATGTATTCATTCAACAAGCACGTGGGGAGCACCCTCTGTGTGCCAGGAGTTGTCATACGTGCTAGGTAGATACCCAAGTGGCTGAAACAAAGAACGCTGTCCTCTACCAGCTGCCGGCCTACAACCTCGCCACTCAGAGTGTGGGCCACGGGGCAACAGTGGCATCAGCTTTCCTCCTTTTGAATGGCTCTGCTGACCTGAGAAGGACGTCGCTCGGCACACAGGCACTGAGCACGACTCAGACATGAATGCAAGGGCTGATGAGACTGGGGGGATCAACTTTAAGACCTTATCCTTCATAAGGTCCCAGTTTCCTCACACAATTCTTACTTGAGCCTTTTATAACTTTAATTGGTTGTACTTAGCTTCTATTGCAGTCTTGGCCTGTCATTTCAAAACCAGAGTGACCCTCAGAGTGCTCTGTAAACTGCAGATTCTAGGGCCCCATGGCAGGGATTCTGATTCAGTAAATCTTGGGCAAGAATTCAAAAATGTTTCTTCAGTAGACTTTTTTTTTTTTTTTAAGAGCAGCTTTAGGTTTGCAGAAACTTGAGCATAACTTATTGTCAATATTCTCCCTCTTCCCACGCACGCAGAGCCCCCTTAGCATCCATCACTAGCACCCCCACCAGAGTGGTACATTCGTTATCACGGATGAACCTACGCTGACACGTCAGCACCCGAGTCCACAGTTCCCGCTAGGGCTCATTCTCTGTGTGCTGTCAGTGGGTTTGTACAGATGTGTAATAACATGTATCTACCACTATGGCACCATATGGAGTAGGTTTGCTGCCCTAAAAATCCTCTGTGCTTTGTGAACTCATCTCTCCCTCCCCACTAACCCATGACAACCACTGATACTTCACCGTCTTTACAGTTTGCCTTTTCTGGAATGTCATAGAGGTGGCATCAAACAGTAAGGCACCTTTTCAAATTAGCTTCTGTCAATTAGTAATGGCATTAAAGGTTCTTCCATGTCTTTTCATTATTCGATAGCTCACTTTTCATTGCCGAATAATATTCAATTGCCTGGATGTACCAGTTTACTAACGAACATTTTGATTGCTTCCAAGTTTGGGAAATTATGAATGAAGCTGCTACAAACATCTGTGTGTGGGTGTTTGTGTGGACATATTTTTTCATCTCCTTTGGGTAAATACCAAAAAGTGTGATTGCTTGATCATATGGCAAGACTATGTTTAAGTTTTTAAGAAAGTGTCAAACTGTTTTCCAAAATGTCTGTACCATTTTGCGTTCCCACCAGCAGTGAGTGAGAGCTCCTGTTGCTCCACGTCGTCAGCATTTGGTGGTGTCCGTGTTCTAAAGTGTGGCCCTCCTAGTAGATGTGTAACAGATCAGCATTTTTATTTTTACTTGCATTTCCCAACGATATGGGATGTAGAGGGAGCACCTTTTCAGTGTATATTTGCCATTTGTTTACCTTCTTTGGTGAGGTGTCTTTTAAAGTTGTTGTCCTATTTTTAATCAAGTTTTAAGTGTTTTTGGACCAAAGTCCGTTTTTGGACCAGATATGTTTTTTGCAAGTATTTTCTCCCCATCTGTAGCGTGTCTTTTCATTCTCCTGACAAAGTCATTTGCAAAACAATTTTAATTTAATTCCAGCTTATCAATTATTTCTCTTATGGGTTGTGCCTTTGGTGTAGTATCTAAAAAGCCATCTTTATACCTGTGTCATCTATATGTTTCCCTTTGTTATCATCTGGGAGTAGTGTAGTTCAGTATTTTACACTTT